TGATGCCCACTCGGTTTCTGCCCAAGAGCACCTGGCTTGGGATGGCTCACCCTAAGTTGCTGCAAAGGAACCCCCCTCAGCCACGCAGCAGGACAATCTTGTCCAAGTAATGCTTACAGGAAGAGCAGAAGTTTAGCCTCTGAACTTGGAAATTATGTATGCAAGAAGATGAAGCGTAATTGCTCATTTCCCTCACAAACAAACACATTTGCTTATGATTTTGATTTCCTAAATACTCAGAAAAGCACATCATAAAGTACTTTTGCCTTAATGCTCCTTTTAAAATCTCTAATAACAACGTCATGTGCTCCACAGGAACAGACCATGTAATTTATTCAGGAAAATTAAAACCAGTAATCTGGTATTTTGTGTAAAGATTTTTTCCCCCTGCATGTGCTTTAGAGAGATTTTTTTTCAGAAAAATGAAAAGAAATCTGCATGTGAAAACAAAGCCTTTAGAGTGAATTTCTATTACAGAAAATCAAGCTAAGAGAATTCCATAAAAGTAGCCCTTTTCCCTTTTGTTCCTTTACTGATAAAAGAAAATGATTCGAGCCATCTTCAGTAAAAAGTTGGATAAAGAAAGAAAATGGTTCACTTAGAAGGGTCCTGCCCAGGAGCATGTAGGCATTTTTCTTTGCATTATAATATACGATAATTTTATCTATAAATTTTGAGCAAATAATGTCCAGAATAGACACATTTCATAATGCTTTGCGGAGTTTGAGACATCCATGTAGCAACTGCCTTGCGATGGGAAAACATTAATGCTTTTTCTATTGGTAATCATCTGTAACATGAGCAATTAAGTACAGTACTAATGGACTATGGCCAGGAGCCTGGTACTAATATTAAAAACTGACAGAGATGAATAGGTTTGGAAGCAAAACCAGGCTGACAAAGACATTTTTATGAAGTGCTTGGACCTATTTGATTTAAACCAATCACAGGCAAGTTTGGACGAGTCAGGCCTTCAGCGACAATGATGCATTCACAGGCATTGTACCATTTCTGCTATGCCTTAAATAAAAACACCCATTGATTCTTTTCAACAACCCGCACTTTCATTATTACACTCATTAATAAACCAAAAGAGCCCAACTAATATATAAGTAACATTTACTGAGGAACTGGCTACTTTTTTCTTGTTGTAAAATGAAAACATTTACTGGAAACATGAACCACACTGCATGAAAAATACATCAGTGGATAATGCATAGTAGATCACTCATTTCTTTTTCATCTTCTAGGAAAGCAAAGCTGAAGGAGGGGAAGTGGAAAAGGAGCAAGTCTCTATATTAGAGTGAAAAGGAGACGCTGGATGAGCCAGCAGTCGAGTAGGACTGCAATCATTCTGATCTTATTTGGAAGCTTTTAAATATTTCCCAGGTATTTCCAGACTAGACATTGCTACAGAGTCTCGAGTCTTCCCAAATGTTGTGAGCAGTCCTTCACCAGTCTAGTCCTCCTTGTTTAACTGGTCTGTGACTAGCAGCGATGAATGAAATCCACCATGATCACTCCGTTTTAGGCAAGAGCTTTGGCCTCAAGTTTGACCAGAGCAGAACTCTTTCAAGTCCCTGGACATCTCTAAGTATTCTCTGCTTTTCTCTGGTAAAATGAATTAAAGGAGACTTCTAGGGCTCTAATTCTGACCTTTTTGCCTCACGCCTAGGCCAAATAAGAGAAAGTGGCATTGCTAAATTCAGTCTAATAAGAAAATTAATGGTACTCGAATCTTGCATCTAATCACAACAATGGGACAGGGTTCTAGACGGCACAAGGAAATGCAAGGACAGGTTAGGGATCAGGAAGCCATCCTCAACAGCTCTGCTCCAACCTCAGCTCTAGGCTCTGCACCGCCATTGTTGCTGAAGCCACACACATGACAGGGCTCCCCATGCTGAATTCCCACTTGGAAGTTGCACTATTGTCTCTCAACTCCAAATCCACCCTTGGCACTTGGCTTAGTAATGCTAGGACTAGAACTCTGTAAATTACATTCCTTTGTCAGTTGTCTTCCTTTTGGGGTTGTGCAAATGCACACGCGCGCGGGGGAGGGGGGTTGTCCTAGGAGGAAGGGGGAGGGGAGAAATAACTTCTTTCTACTTATCTTGCTCTTCATATCAGTGTCATCCCAACACTAACGTAGCAGTGGTAACTGGTTCCAGCTTTCAACTTCCAGTTTCTCTCAACTATCCCTAGCAGTTTCAATGTATTTGCTCTGAGGTCAAGCGGCAGCCTAAGCCTAGATCCATAGTGCTCCTCTCCTGAGCTCCCCTTAGTACTAACGCTGGCTGGGTGACGCCCTTTCCAGGGATTTGAACCCCAGCTCTGCGTGGCACACTCTCTAGGTGGTAATATCCTAATCCATTCTCTCCGCTCTCTCGGTTCTAGGAAACCTACAGCTCTTACCTCTGCGTTAATTTAGGGCTTTCACCAACACCTGTTTAAGCAATTCCCTACAGTAACTTCTCTTGGCTGAATACCTAGTGTGGTTTCCATTTTCCTTACTGCACCCTGCCCGATACACTGCCCAACAAATTCTAGATTTAGAAAAGTGACATGGCTCTTCCAAATGGTTAACCTGGCAGGAGACCATACCTTTATGAAATATCAAGAGTAAGGAAAAAAGAGATGGAAAAAAACCTAATAATATTTTACAGTTGCTACATTTTGTTTTATATGTAATAGAATTGTCCAGTTTGGCTGATTGAAGGCTATTGGTAATATGCTCCTCCAGGAAGAGGTAAATCACGACAGAATGTACACAGTCTTCAAACAAACACATCTTTGCCTTCCATTTAATACTGAGGGTATTTTTATTCACACAACTCCTTGAGTAAACTGTACACACACACACACACACACCCATTATACTCATCCCTTCCATTCTGAACTTCATCTGTTTACTTTCTGACCATGTGATACCTTGTAATTCATTTGCGGAATGTGTTCACTCTTCAACTAGGTGAGTTAGCTAACAGCTGAAATATACCCCTTTCCCAAATCGTAATTTCAGTTGGGTCTTGATGGCTCAGGTGTTGGAGACATTTGCACCAGGAGGAAAGGGCTGTGCACTCTCAGAATAGAAGCTAATTGGAAGTGGACTCGGTGTATTGATGAAAACGTTCTGATTACAGCTTTGGCTCATGACTCAAACACAAGGAGACCGTGGTATCCTCAAATGTTATTTACAGAGCCTCACCTGAGATGTCAATGCTATTTGTAAGAGGACATCAGTGGTGTGCTTTTTACGTACAGCGAGCATGTGTGAGCTTTTGAATTAAACACCAAGAGAAATAAATCTTGAATTCAAAAAAACGGATGCCCTATTTTGCTAAGTGCTGTAAAGAGTAACAATTAGAATGTATATTATCAATGTTTAAAAATCCTCTGGGTTATAATTCTGCCAACTAAGGTAATCTCTTGGGAATACTTTGTGGCACTTTTATAGGATACTAAACCCATCTCAGTTTACTCTGAGTATTTCTACAAAAGCATTCTAAGTTTTGTTGACTTGCCATACTAAAAGAGGCTTTGAGTTCAATACCGTACAGATGAAAGTACAAGAGAACTTAAAACTTGACTAGGAATTGATGTGTTCAATGGTGTTAACTGGGGACACACATATATGATCCCGAAGCAGGTGTGAAATGTCTAGGTTAAAATTGGAATGGTAACTCCAAGACTATAGCAGGAACAATCAGCTAATCTAGTAGTTGTGTTTTACTTTTTTTTTTTTTTGACAGGCAGAGTGGACAGTGAGAGAAAGAAAGACAGAGAGAAAGGTCTTCCTTTGCCGTTGGTTCACCCTCTAATGGCCGCCACAGCTGGCACGCTGCGTTGATTCGAAGCCAGAAGCCAGGAGCCAGGTGCTTCTCCTGGTCTCCCCTGGGGTGCAGGGCCCAAGCACTTGGGCCATCCTCCACTGCACTCCCTGGCCACAACAGAGAGCTGGCCTGGAAGAGGGGCAACTGGGACAGAATCCGGCGCCCCGACCGGGACTAGAACCCGGTGTGCCGGCGCCGCAGGCGGAGGATTAGCCTATTGAGCCACGGCGCTGGCTGTGTTTTACTTTTCAAACCAGCAAGCAAACTGGTTACTGCTTTGTAATTTATTTGATTAATGTGCTAGCTAGTTGTTTGTTCAGCTAAGTAGCTGTTCTTGACTTCATTCCACATATGGCCATTGTTAAAACACACACCCTTCTCTTGGTTTCCCAATCTCTGAATGCAAAAACAGAAGCCAATCCAGTGAACATTTCAACAGGGAAGTACCCGTTATAAGGAAGTTGGTACAACGCGAGCTAATTAAGTGAGGAGTCAAAGAGTACAGCAAGGATAACACAGAAAACAGCTGACTGGTCTTCAACGTCGTGGGTAATGGACTTAGTGCAAAGGGAAAGACCCCTGTGTCTGTAACCTTCACAGCAGGCTAAGCTTGCACCTGCCTCTTGTTCGCATTGTCACCACCTTTCTGAAGCAGGCTGAAATTCTAAGAAAACAAAGGCACACAAAACGTGGCAAGAAGAGTTCCTGGGTCAAAAGCACAGCTGTAGAACAACCCCAAGATGGAAAATATAATGGACTTTATCTGGGGCCAGTTCTCTTATCGTAAAGAATTACTTTTCAGTGTCAATACAGTTACATGGCAATCTCATAGTCACATTGCACGTCTTTGTTTTCCAAAGCTGAAGATTCTCACAGTAAATGAACCTTCAGGGAACATACTGAGTAATCTGTGCTTCTGGAGGGGAAAAAAGCATTGTCAGGCAGGTGGTCACGGGATAAAACCAAACTAGAAGAACATCTAAATTTAGCCCCTGTAACCAGAGAAAGCCTAAAAATCACAAGGCATAATGCAAAGTAAAATGCCAGAGAGATATTTTCTGTTTCCTGAAAGGCCCTTAAGAGTTCCTGTCTTACCCCTGACTAGAGGCACCTTCCAATTAATGCACTTTTAATTAAGTGAAGACTTTCCAAGAAAAGGTTTCTTACCTTTCATAATGTCTGCGGGTACAAGTGGCGGCGCTGGTGCTCCCAGGATTACCGCCTAATTCATCATAAATATGTTTCCATTGACGGCGGGCTGTTATCTGAAAAAATGGCAATGGGACATTCAATCGTGCATCATAAGAGATTCATGGTGCCAGGCTTCAATACATATGCAACAGTCAGAAGAGAACAGTCTGTTCTGGAAACCCAGGGACAGAGAAGTCCAAATGAGTATATAGGGAGACTTACGGTTTTATAGCAAGCTCTCACTTGCAGTGCTATTTTTTTTTAAAATAAGAAAAATGGAATTTTATTTTGGGCTCTCTATTTTGCCACCCTTGCACCCCCCCCCAAATATTCATGTACCTATCTGCCCCTAAAGCCCCAAACTCCTAGCCTTTATGTCATGTGATAAAGCAGCAAAATAAAATCTGATTTTAGCTAAATTCTATTTTAGTTCTTTAGTTTAAATTAATAAAAATGAATATTAGTTGCCTGAGGCTTGCAGAAATGGTGGCCAAGTACATAGGTAAGAGACTTTACCAAAGATGCTTTTGTGTCTTCTGATTTGTGAACCATGTGATGCATTGCCTACTTTCAAAACTTTTTTTAAGTTTTAAATCAAAATAACTATGCAGATTCATTAAAATAATTAAATTGGTTGTGGAATTTGCAATCATTTCAGGCTATATTTTTATGCCAGCTATTCTAATTACCATAACAAAACCTAACTCTGAAACTATATATGTTGCAAGCTGTTTATTTTCTTTTTCTCAGGTCAGGACAATGGGAGATTGGTCAAATCCTATGAAAATTAACATATTCCAACGCTAAAATGCTTGTGATGTATATTATTGAATGGACTGAATACAAACAAACAGCTTGTAATATACTGAACTGCACACTGTGGTCTTTTTTCCTTTAATTTTATTTTGTACCTAAATTAAGATTTTAGAAAATAACAGATGCAAGATCTGGCAAATGATTAATTTGGGGAAACCATGTCATTTGCTACATCTGAGTGATTCTAGAGTTCGCTTGAAACTAGGAAGACGGGACAAATTCTGGGGTCCTTGTGGACTTTCTAGAAAGGATTACATGAAAGCCCCGTTATTGGAATGGGTAGGGAGGGAGTGTGGCAAAGGTGCTGGTGGCATTTAAGGCAGTCATGGTAGATGGCTTCTTTCGAGAAACACAGAGCTGCCAGCTGAGTTCACCAAGAGGCTGAGGACAGCAACAGGGGGAAAAATTCTCAGTTTGCAATGAGGGCTCTATAATTGCAGTCTAAGGAGGAGGAGATGGGTGGTGAAATATTATAGGGTAAATGGCACCTTTTCCATTTCAAATAAAAAGAGCCCCCCTCATCTCCATACAGGCTTCTCAAGAGGGCCTGGAGACAATGTTAGCTTTGCATTGTTCAATTTCCAATGAAGCATTTTTGAACCAATTGGTTGTAATAGTTCACATCAGACAGACCTGCTAGCAGGGGTAACTGAAAATAAAACTTCCTTATTTATAGCTTGATTTAGATTTTAATAAATGATTTCAAATGACTTTCAAAGCACTCAAAATACATATTTTCATAATTATTTCAGACATATTTGCAGTCTCCCTCCAACCTATAAATGATACAACCTTGGACTGATCTATTTGAGGCTGGTGTATCAAGCAAGGAGAAACAGGCTCCCTTCCCCAGTATCTACCTTATTCCTCAAAGCACTTGGAATACTGAGGACCCTGAAACACTACCACATTCCCCTCACTCAAATGAGGTGCAAGGGCCCTGGGGGTCAGAGAGGGGCCAGAAGACCGCAGCCCCGCCAATCACATCTGAAGAAATCATCAATCTTGTCATCTTTGTGTCTCTTATGAGCACTGAATTCTACATTTCATACAGGATTTGCATTTCCATGCTGCCATTTAATCCTCCCATAGCCCGTGAGGAAGGCTATAGGACTTTTATTCATAGATGAAGTGAGACTCAGAGAGGTTACATGACCTGCCAATGACACACAGCAGCAGATTGAAAACCAGGACCCATATAAATAATACATTATCAAAAAGGAAAAATCTACCTTACACTAAGTCTGGAACTGTGACAGCAGGAAACCAGCATCAAGCACCACTGGTTGCGAATACGTCACGTACAGCTGATGAATCTGTGTTAGCGTTTTGGTGCTTATATACGATTCGTACAGGGAGGATTCATCGACACTGAAGACGGGGCTGGGCCTTCAAGGAAGTGATCCCTCTGTTTCCATGCCCTCCACTGGAGGGTGGATGAACCAGGCCACTTTAAAACTTTTTAAGTTATAAAATATGGGCTTCCCAACTGCTAAATGCGTTTAGCCACTCAGTTCTCCTGAGCATATCTCTCTTGTTTTGTCTTCAGATATATATATATATATTTTTTTTTTGACAGGCAGAGTGGACAGTGAGAGAGAGACAGAGAGAAAGGTCTTTCTTTTTTTTTTTTATTTTTTTTTATTTTTTTTTTTATTTTTTGACAGGCAGAGTGGACAGTGAGAGAGAGAGACAGAGAGAAAGGTCTTCCTTTGCCGTTGGTTCACCCTCCAATGGCCGCCGCGGCCGGCGCGCTGCGGCCGGCGCACCGCGCTGATCCGATGGCAGGAGCCAGGAGCCAGGTGCTTTTCCTGGTCTCCCATGGGGTGCAGGGCCCAAGCACCTGGGCCATCCTCCACTGCACTCCCTGGCCACAGCAGAGGGCTGGCCTGGAAGAGGGGCAACCGGGACAGAATCCGGCGCCCCAACCGGGACTAGAACCCGGTGTGCCGGCGCCGCTAGGCGGAGGATTAGCCTAGTGAGCCGCGGCGCCGGCCAGAAAGGTCTTTCTTTGCCGTTGGTTCACCCTCCAATGGCCGCCGCGGCCAGCGCGCTGCAGCCGGCGCACCGCGCTGATCTGATGGCAGGAGCCAGGTGCTTCTCCTGGTCTCCCCTGGGGTGCAGGGCCCAAGCACTTGGGCCATCCTCCACTGCACTCCCGGGCCACAGCAGAGAGCTGGCCTGGAAGAGGGACAACCGGGACAGCCCGACTGGGACTAGGACCCGGTGTGCCGGCGCCGCAAGGCGGAGGATTAGCCTAGTGAGCCGCGGTGTCGGCTCAGATATACTTTTAATTTAAATGCTGACGGTGGACTCCAGAGGGTAAAGGCGGGAAGATATCACGCCCAGGAAGAGACGCTACTGCTTTCAAGGGTCCACAGGTTAGTAGGAGGGACAACCCCACACAAGTTACCACAGAGGAGGATGTACAACTGAGCAGTCCACACCCAAGTAAAAGAAGCCAATCCTGGGAGAGTGAAACTTAACCTTATTGTAAAGATGCCTGGGTTACTTCTTCTCAACACAGGTAACACCCAACGAACCATACAGGAAGCCTTCCACATCCATTATTTTCACAAAGGCCTTACTGCTTATAAAAACAGAGGTGTTTGAACTGCTCTTTAGAACCCAAGTGGTTTATTAAAGGTGGCCTGAAACCAACTCTCCATACCACCAACCTCAGCCAAGAAAATAGGTCGAACGAGTGGGAAAGGAATCTATCTCTTCCACAATGATAAAAATACCCTGTGGCTTAAAAAAAAAAAAAATGGAAAAACACTCTTACTTCAATGGTCTTGGAGTCTTGATAGCTCTTTTTGGTTGCAGGGTGAAAAAAAAAAAAACCCACTAACTTTTTTGTGGTCACATAAGGAAATATTAATCAGAAATCTTTTGGGCTGAAGCTCATCCAATGGCTTAAGAACAGGTAGGAAACAGAAGTCAAGAGGAGTTTGCCCGAGCACAGCATTGCTGGGCTGCTCTGAGGAAGAGCCTCCTTCTCGGGACCTTGAGGGCGGACTGAATTCAAGGAAGATGACTTTTTTTCCTGGTAGTACTCCAGGAACTGGAGCCTTTCAAAATTGCATGACATCATCTTTGGCCTCAAGAATTTTGAATTAAGCCAGAGGCTGTCTGTCCAGAGAACTAGGGTTAGATTCAGAGGATGTCTTCGAAATGATGTCAAAACCAGAATTTGATGTCAAAATCTTATCCTTCCAGAGAGAAGACAAGCGATTTCTTCGTCCTGTCTTGGGGGAAGGGCAGGGCAGGGCGGGGCAGGGCGGAGAAGAGGGGCCGCTGACAGACGTTCTTAGAAGCACCCCTCTCACAGCATGCCCTGACTCTGGGGTAAGAGTTACTCAAGAGCCATTTCTCTGCCCTACCTGCTCTCCAAATACTGCCTCTGGCTTGCTGTCAAATAGTTAGCCAAATGGAAATCACTTTTAGCAAGCCTTTTACTCTCACGGTTCTATATCCTGGTCAGACCCCAAGCTACTCTTCCAGCATTAACTGCTTCCCCAGATGCTGAAGTGAGGGTCCCGACAGCTCAGCAGCAAAGCTTTATCCGGCTCTGCCTCTTCTACAGTAGGTGATCCATGTTCTAATGCGTTTGGAAGGAAAACTTGGGTAGATAACTAGAAAGCAAGGATCCGCACTGCCAGCCAATCAGAATGCCAGAGCACTGTGTTTTCAGGAAATCCATTCCACTCAAAACATTTACGATCTCTAAACCTAAGGAGGCAGAGACTATACACTCCCAGCAGAGGCAGAGCAGGCTGAGAGCCTTGCATATTGCTATTAGTCAAATGTTATAAAGGCTTAAAATAAAACTTCTGCTCCTCTTTTTTTTTTTTTTTAAATTCAATTTGAGGGTTGTGAAGGACTGAAATGAAATAATCCATAATCTGCAATTCAAACCAGAAGGTTTGGAATAGTTTATAACCACAAACAAAAACAAGCCAATTAAGATGGCCTCTTTTTATAACCAGAAGGGATTCCAGAGAGATGTCTTTATCCAACTGCAAGTTAACAGCAGCAGTGACACAGCTATGCATTTTATATTACAGGGTTTTTTTTTTTTTTTGCTATTGCTTAATATTTACATTATCTAGACTTCTTGATCCATCTCCTAAATTCACACATTATTCTCAAGAATCAGATAAAATGTCAGCTGGTAATTAGTACATCTGATAAGGCTCATGTTAGGTGCAAAGAACAGACTGACAGATGCTACAAAGGAAGGCAGGTTATTACATCCTTTTCCCAAAACATCACCTGAAACGTGTAGAAAGCATTTTGTGTATGTAAGAAATAGCTGAGAGTGGAAGGCGCCAGAGGGATGATTTATGAATCGCCTTCCTCTCACTGATACCAACGAAGGCTTAGACAAAAGTGCACAGAAGTCCCAGCAGGTCAGAGTCTGAAGCCTGCCGTGCTGACTCTGTGCGGCGCATTGCATCTCCCTGAGCCTGTTTTTCTTCTCTGTAAAATGCAGGTGTGAGACGGAGCAGAGCAAGGATCTCTTTTTCACTAAGTACAACTCAGAAAAAAAAAAAATCTGGGGGCTACTCTTCCTCATTCAAAATGGAAATAGCTTACTGAGTCCTGACTTAGATCACCACCTTAGCAAATGGAAAAATACTTGTCTGAGACATTGTGCTACTCTTGAGTCAAGGGAACATTCATTTCTAGCCTATTTATATGGTAAAATCATAGAGGCCAATTTCTAATCTTTGATATTTGACTTACATGGGGGCCACTTTTTTTTTTTTTTTATTTAAAAGGCAGAGAAGAGAGAGAGAGAGGGAGAGAGAGAGATTCCATGTGCTGGTTCATTCACCAAATACCAACAATAGCCAGAGCTGGGCCAGGCCAAAGGCAGTTCCATCCAGGTCTCCCATGTGGGTGGTAGGGACCAAAGCACTTCACCTGCTGTCTACCAGGCTGCCCATTAGGAAGCTGGATTGGAAATACTGTACCTGGGCCTCAAACCAGACAATATGGGATGTGGGAGTCCCAAGTATCAACTTAAACCACTGTGCCTAATGCCCAGAGGATCACATTGTGAAGGGAAGGGTTATGGGGGACAGTAGGCCGAGATTAATAATCATTGTATAGCTGGCTTTGAATTTGCAACACCTCGGTAGTTTAACCGAAAGGATTCTCTGATTCTTAGGCCGGCCCAGCTCTCACTCCGGAGTGAATCCCAGGCTTGGGGTCTGGTCTGCTACTCATACTTTGAAGTTCCCAGTAGGACATTTGAGCCCCAGTTCCCAAGGAGTCTCTGGGAGCCACTGCTCTGGAAGACTCTACGGTCTCTCTTGAGTGCTAAACGATACAGGTCCACACTGGTTTTTGGTATCAGATCATCTCAGAGATACGAGGCCTTCAGTGTCTCTGTGATGAAAACATTAAGTCCGTGGACACTGGATATTACTGTACATCTCCTGGTGTCACTTCAAACCTGAATCCTCATCAAACACCTCATACTTTTATTTGTCAAAATACGCCAAGAACAAAATGTATTCTATTTGTAGGGGGTTCAAGAGCTTAAATAACTTCGTACAGGGCCAAGAGTCAGCATGCAGCATCTAGCAAGATGTGAGAAGACTGGGAAGGAGAAATTCTTCTCACGGGGCAGATGCCAATCTGGTCTTTCATATTTCCCCTCCTCCCCAGTGAAGGGAATCAGAGTGTCCCACCCGCAAAATGTGCCGCTTTCGTATAAGGATCAATTTGAGCTGAATCAACAGATACAGGAAGAGCTGCTGTTTTTCCCTTATCTACCCCAAAGCAAGGTGTACATTTCCCTTTTGTGAAGATGTCCCCAACAGCACCAGGAAGAGAAGAGCGACTCTTATCTCTGGAGATGAGCGGTCCCCTCCTGCAGCCCCCACTGTCTACTATGTGGCTCTGGGGCCTCCTCACTTGGTACCATCCTTTCCATCCTGCCCTCCACTCCCGCTTCAAGGTCACCTGGCCCAGCTCCCCACTTTAGTTTTAATCACTAAACTCTCTATGTCTGATTTGATTCTGCCGCCGTATCTCTCTCCCATTTGACTCATTCCCTCTTTCTCAAAGACCGTGATCTTTCATGTCTAAGTTTCATCTCTTCCCCAAATTCTGCTCAAACAGTACTGCAGCCACCAAGTCTTCCTTCTTTCACCTCTACTTGAGGTGTAAATTTACCTCTACAGGGCACTCATCTGTCTCCACTTTGTCCCTGATGATAACTACTGCCTCTCCTGACGATGAGTGTCTCAAGCACTGGCCCACTGGCCTAGATATTTTGCATCTCCTACAGTGTCTGACACAGTGGCTTGTATATATAAGATATTCAGTAAGCATGTGGTCAGCTGATTTGCTGATTGTGTGGTCACTCTTTCACTTAACAAAAGAATAAATAGTATGTGTTCAAGGAGTACCACTTATACCCTGAAATTTAACAGCAGTTTCTTCTGAACTCTATACCAATTTGCTGTTGCTTGGTGGGGAGGGGGAATCTTTGTGAAGTTACAAAAGTTACAAAAGCAGGAAAAACTGATTCTGTGAAATTTTCTGGCACTCTCCCTATCAGTGAATAACAAAAAGTTCCCAAGTTTAAAAAGACATTTCTTAATATTGTGCAATATCATGTAACTATCAACAGTCACAGTTCATAAGAATATGTATTATTATTCCTAATACTAAAAATTAGACTTAAAAGTCTAGGCTGTGAGGTTGACCCCTAAATTTATGAGAATAAGTTTTTTTTTCACTTGGATGAAAGCTACATTTAGGTTGAGATTTTACAAAACTATGAGCTAGAGTGGCAAGGAGTCCATATCCTGCCTGGTCCTATCAGCAGACTTGACCAAATGAAAGATTACAATATTTATTTTACATAGAGCACTTGATAAAAAAAATTCAAGTAAATTCATGTCTATGAAATGTATATTTTATGAGTAGTTTACATGACTATTATATTTCTTTATAAACATAAATATATATACAGTCCATATATTAAATAAATATTTTACAGGCTCATATACTCAAAAAGAATTTTTAGACAGCATTCATAGAAGATATCTCTACAGTAAATGCCAGATTTTCCAAATCACATAACACTTGCCAACATTTCCCATACCAAGCCCCTGACATCAAACCATTATAATGGTTTGTGGAACAATATGCTTTATCTGGCAAGAAACAATGATTATTATGCTTGGGCTGAAATGAATTTCATTTTCTTGACTTTGTGTCTCTTACTGTCATTTTACTATGGTACAGAGATATCCCAGATTACTGCTTAAGCAAAGAAAAAAATAATTTCTTATTCAATTGCAGAAGAAACTGCACAACTTAATCTGATCATTGTGTGGAAGAGAAAATATTTCCAGTGACGACATCTTCCTATGTCAATTGATTTTATTACAGATGCCATCTCTGTGTGCTGGATTAATGCAGCTCTTTCTTCTTATTTCAAGATCTTAATCTGAGTTTGTTGCTCTAACATTTTATTGGTTCAAAATACACGCTGTAAAAATCCGTGGCCATCAAATTTTCCTGTGGGCTAAAAATAACCCACTCCTGTCAGTTAGAATTAGCTGATAAAGAGTGTCAGAGCTTGTTCTGAATAAGTTTGATAACTTCCTGTTTATTCAGCACTGACCCTTGTCTAATAAAGCTGCTTTTGCCCTAGAATGAGAGGAGATTCTGCTGCATTCTATTCCTTAATGGCCAATACTGATTACTTTTGAAAGCCTTTAATACATTTCCCATATTAGACATGAACAGATGTCAGGTATGTTGCCAAGAGAAATTTCTTTTATGCAATCTTGGCTTGTTGTACAATAATAGCCCTTTCTCAACATGGGAAAAAATTACAGACCCAACTAATTTCCCTGACAGGGGAGAGTTACATATGTTTTCCACTTGTAGTTTTTACGACAAGTTTACAATTTTGCCAAACCTGGAACTAATTGGGACTGTTTCCAAAAGTGGCCCAATAAACCCCCAAAAGTGTAGAGCCATTCAAAAAAGGCAGCCAATGACGGTTTGCTTTTGCATTTTCTACATTTTGGTCAAAGGAGGGGGGGAAGTAAGATTGCAAAATTACTTCATTTAAGTTGCTTAAACACTTACTGTTTCATATCCTCCCAGTTTTTGAGCAGCTTGAAACATAGTCCAAAGGTTAACTGTTAGAGGGACAATAAGTATTTAGATAAGCATTGCATTAACATATTTCCAAGAAATGTCAATTAAAACATTTTTTTTCAACGAGAAAGAGAAAAAAAAACACTAACGTATCACAGAGAGCTAAGTTCTTAGGAAACAATTTGCCAAAGGGCATTCAACAGCAGAATCTATTTTTAACACTTAAAATATTTCTTAATCGTCACAAAATGATGGAGATAGTTCTACTTTCAGGACAAAGGACAACACGGTTTTAGTCCTGTTACTGTCAACAGAGCAAGAAAAGCTGAATTAGAGCATCCTTGGGAAAAAGTATTTCAGAATTGGGGTTGATTGTGTTCAGCCCTTAGAAAGAAGCCATTCATTAAACAGTACTACATAATGCTTCCCTCAGATAAAAACTCTCTAGGATCAATAAATAACAGCCAACTTAATATATGATTACCTTCTTAATCGAATGGCTGATGACAACACTCTAATAAAGGCTTACATTGTATTTCACTACCACGTGATGCCTTGCAATGAGCAGGAAAATATTTCACTTGCAAGGCAGCTGTGATACAACAGATGAGAGGGAAGGAAGACATTCATTCACACAGGAATTGAGTCATGAACCCTCCTGGTCCTCTAACTTGTTTGTGTGATGTCGCAAATATATTTTTTTCCAAGCAGGGCTTGCCTGTGTTTAGGTTGTTAAACAACTATGCTCAATTGCTAGCAACTCGTTCATTTATACCAAATACCCTGGAACGAGACTACTATGGATCTGATTCTTTTACAAGAGGGGAAAATTGAACTTCAAGTAATTCCTTAGTAAGGGAAATGAATAAAATGAAAATTAGAACAACAACAACAAAAAAGGCTCTGTGACACAACATGTTCGTAAAGCCTCATTGAACCTTGCACTATTTCAAAGCTATCAAGAGCCCTGCGTCGGCCTTGATTTAATCTGAACCAATGCATAATGCAACAAAGCTGTTCATAGTACATTAATTTTACTTCTATTTCAAGCAACCAGTTTTCCGACAAACATTGTAATCATTCCTAGTTATATAAGTTTATAATGGCTGCGAGTGTTCTCTTGCAATCAGTGCCAATTGCTATTAGGTATGTAAATTGTTATGTAAAACATACAGGTTTGACATTCTTCATCAAAATGACACATGGTTTTAATCTAGGGAGATACGTTTGGAGAAAATACTATTTCAAGCCAGAGGCTCATCGCTTCGTGCACCACTAAATCCAGACAGAGGCAAAATATATATTCACTTGCGTACTCAGGGCAAGATCTGGGCTTTTCTTTTTTCTTCTATTATTATGGAATTCTCATCAGCTATGAGTTCCTGTTCTCTTTACATGGGATGATACTTAAAGGCACATGTGAAAGTAATTGAAAACTGGGCCCTCTGTTCAAATCTGTGCGTTTCTTGTTTCTCTGAAGTCAGATTTTTGTTATCTTTTAACAAATTTGGGGCTTAGGAAATGTGTTTTCTCTTGGTGGTTGTTTTGTCCACCTTTAAATGTCCTCCTTTGAAAAGCTGTCTTTTCCCAGGCAACATCTGTGCCTGATAAAGCTACGTCATATTATTATCTCACAAGAAAGGCGGTGCAGACACTCGAGACTGACAAAACAGAAAATGAGAAACTTTCAACATGTCTATTTCCAGTCATAATCAGTGGATTCAAGCCTATAAATATCTCATTGCAACTGTCCCAGAAGGGAACAATGTAGCGGAAAAAGGCAGGGAAAAAATTCTTGGCTTGGATGATTTGTAGATTTAGTATAAACAGAGAACACCATCCCTAGATTAGGATTTCAACATAATCCTGAGTCCAAAAAAAAAATTTTTTTTTTCAATTCAAAGAATCTCAGCGATTTTGATATTTCAGAAACAAAAACAAGTATACTTACTCTGTTTAAAACCTAAATAAGGGATTCGCTCTATGGGCGTTTTCCTTTCTTTCATGTATTTATAAAGTGCCACCAAGAAGGCCTGTTCATCTGCCCTGCACTCCTCACCAATAGCAAGCTTTGGTTTTTCTTCATTGGAGACTTTTTTACAGTTATTGTGGTTATTCTTCGGTTTGGTCAAGGCTGACCTGGCCTCACATTTCACCTGGAAAAGAAAAAAGTACACCTTTTCAAATAGGGCAGGGCTCTGGAATGCGTGCAAAGATGTAGCCGGGGTTGCTGCTCACAGAAGGGGAAGGCTGAACCGATGGGTGGCACTGGCCCTGAAAGGAGTTTCGAGGTACCACTGAACCTGATTGTCTTAGATCAGGGGATGCTAGACTTCTTAAAGGGCCACACAGCAACCACCACAGGTTTTTGAATCATACAGTCTCTGAGATCATAGGCAATATGTAAATGAACGATTCCATTAAAACTTTATTGACAGAAACACAGAGCCAGTGGGCCACAGTTTGCTAATCTATCCCAGCTTCTTTTAGATTCTTTCTAAGTATAACCGATATGAAACAAGAAATAGTATTTGCATCTGGTAGAACCATTCCTTTGCCTCTTTATATATTTTATTTTCCTAAGGGGCACCATCCATCAAGGTTCTTGAATAAACCCTGACTTTTTAATAAATTGTCCCATATCGTACACTTTGTATCAAAATGAAAGGTGCATTTATTGCTTCGTAGGAAATTTATCTGCTTGCTACTCTCACCAGCAAACTGGAAAAACATGCCAGCAGCAGGAACACCAGCAAGCTCTCCGCTGTCTGTCACCTGGAAGTGTTTCTCAGTAGGAAACAATGGATCCCACTCTGTAATGAGAACTCCTTGCTTTTCAGGCAGCTCTGAGAGTATAAGACACGTTAACTTGCCACAAAATGAAGGGTAGAGGTCAGCTAAAACCCAACAAGAGTAAGTGAAAGGTTCCATAATTAAAAAAATAAATGGCGGCGAATGGTCTTCCTTCCACACTCTGGGCGGATGTGGGGCTCGGCCTACGGAGTGGCTCACCTAATGTTCCCTCCTCACTGCCATGTTCTACAAGAGTCCTTTGATGGTTGTTAAATAGAACGCTAAGTTGCTGAGCTATTTTAATTGTAAAAAGGGGAAGTACAAAGGGTCAGACTTTGAGTTCAAGTGCGCCCATGGGGAATGTGTACATTCCAATATTCTTTACATCTCCGTATCTAACATCGGCTGGGAAGAGGGCAAGTGCCGGGGAAATGTTATGAATAAAAATGTCCCACATACTCTACAGTGCGCTCCATTTCAGATTTTTGAACTTTTCTTTCCCTGCAGATCTTCCTTCATAAGTACTAAGAACATAAAAGACTATGCTTATTTATTAAAGGAAAGGGTGCCCTCTGCAAGGGTTTTCTTTATTGCTTATTCTCTCAAGTGAACATGTTCGTTTGATATCTTTAGACTGGTCTTGGAGAAATAAAATTTCATGCACAACTCACTCAACAGAGGGTCTAGAAGAGATTTTAATGTTTAAGGGGCTGTGGAATTGGGGTTAAATATATTATCCACATAACATTTTCACTTACGATATTCTCAGACTTTAGTACTTTGTAACATTCTATTAAGAACATCCTGTGAAATTTTATGTTGTCATCATTTTTCGCTTTCAAATTTTAGGTTGTTGGGGCTAAAGTTCTGATGAAATGTATGATTTAATGGCTTCTTGAAATCATAAAATCACTCCAGTTGTAATCTGCATTGCTTCCCAGCCTTTTCTGAATAGCTAGGTTCTATTCTTTTTTTTAAAAGGATTGATTTGAAAAGCAGAGTTACAGAAAGACTAAGAGAGACAGAGAGAAATCTTCCATCTGCTGGTTCACTCCCCCGAATGGCTGCAATGGCCAGGCTGAGTCATGCCAAAGCCAGGAGCTCCCTCAAGTACTTGGGCCATCTTTTGCTGCCTGGCTGGATGAGAAGTGGAGCAGCCAGGACTCGATCCAGTGCCCGTGTGGGATGGTGGCATCACAGGTGGCAACTTAACCCACTATGCCACAACGCTGACACTAGTCAGGTTCTGTCCTAAGCTCTATTAAGTATTATCTCATTTTGTGTCCACAATCCTAATATGGTCGGTATTATTCCTGCATTAGAGATAAGGCAAGTGAGAAACAGGGTGAGCAGCACATGTACAAGTTAGTAAGCGGTGAGTCTGGGATTTTGAGCTCAAGTGGCCCCAGTCTAGGGCTTGTGGTTTTAAACATTCTACTGACACTCTTAAAAAGATCAAATTGGGAGTCAAAACAAACTTCAAGTTAAAAAGCACATCATATTACTAAGCATGACAAAACATACCATTTAGAAATGTGACGTATCAAAAGAGAAGTAAAAGATAAAACCAGGTGGTTTCCAAAGTGTAAAAGAACTCTGTCCCTTCTGCTGTACAGTGAACAAAATGGAAGGAAAGCAGTGACACAGAGCACCCAGAGTGGACACAGTGCTGTGGGCTTTCCCCACTCTGCGGTCAGGTCATCAGAATCCTAACAGGCAGACACTGAGCCCCATTTTCCCGCGGAGAACACAGAAGCTCAGCAAGTGAGGGGCCGACATCTGGGTTTGGAACTCAGCTCCACTTCCCTCCAAACCTCAGGCTCGTTAGAAACAGGAGTAGAGCGAAGGGCTGTGTAGAAAGCAGGCCGAGTCTTGCAGCGATAGCAGGCCACTTATCTCAAGGATTACGAGGTCCAAAGCACCTGTTAAGGGAGTATGTGGTGCGCTCCTCAGTGTCAGTGTCCAGACGCCTACTTAACTCTCTGCCTCACCTGTGTGGAAACAGCCAGAGACAGCAGGAAAGTGCACAGGGGGTGCACAAGCCAGGTGGGAAGTAGTTCAGATCACGGCACAGGCTCCAGATGACGCCAGGCTGCCACCTACTGAACTCCATCCTGAGCAGTGGGCTCGCCCCACGCTGCTCCTGAGGGAGCCAGGGGCTGGGCTGGAAGTGAACAAGTGCACGATGCCTTCCTTTCTCCTACTAGCTTGAGACATTTTTTTTTTCCACGTAACATAAATGGGCTCTTTAAAGTATTATTCTGTTCCGAGTAGGACCAAGTCAAGTTCCTGCCTACATTTTTTCACATTTACCCAAAACATTCTCAGCACTTTAATCTATTGAATTATTATAGTGCAGGTGTTAATGGAAACAGGAGCTAGTTATCATGGTGACCTTGAGAAAGCTCAAGCTTTTGATGGTGACAGTTAATTACCAGATCTATTTTTTTCCCTACCTGAACACCATACACCTGTTGAGCTCACTAAGAACCTTGGGGTTTCCAGAGTGATTGAGGAAGTGCTAATTAAAGAATCAACATTTAACGTTTCCAATGAATCACTACCTATTTGATATTAACCGCATCCTTCCACGGGATTGAGTTATAACTAATCCAGCCTTCCACTGGGATAGCATGATGTGCTGAAGCAGCAAAAAAAAAAAAAAAAAAAAAAAAAAGGCTAGAATTTTAATCTCAGCTTAAAAAAAAAAAAGCTGATTTACCCTAGCTTCTTCTTCAGTGAAGTAAGTATGACCCCTGGGAGCGGTTCTGAGGACCCAACGAAATGAAAAAATATTGGAAATAATGGAAGTATCACATTTGTGAGATATCAAAGGTATGTTTGTGATTTAAGCGAAAGAACATATTGCACACCCTAGTTCCCTTTCTTACATTCTTTTTTGAATATAAACCACCTGTTACACACGTCTGGCCTTTGGAAAATGCTTACAGGATATGAGAAATCATTTTCCTTCCATCCATATAGATTTTTCACTAGAGACATAGGCCAAGACCATTTCTTTTTCACAGATCATCCTAGGAACAGGCCTGGGCCTCAGCTCTGCTGAGAGCTGCTGCTTTAAGGTGAGCGCAGGGAAGTGGCAGCATTTGGGTGGGACACATTCATGGTGGCTTCAGAGAACGCACGGTTTCCTTCCATGTGGTATCTGCTGTCTTTGGGAAGCCATGGAATTCTCTTCCCTGGAGAACAGGTTTTGCAGAGCCCTGTTCTCATTGAGAAACTACAACCTTTTGAGGGCGACAGGAAAATTACTGATAATGAACACAACAAACCCAATGGATTGCATTCTAGGAACTTTGCTGTGTGGAGTTGCACGAAACTGGTACTTATCCACTCAGATGGTCTGTTTCAGGTACATGGGAAACAGTCACCCAGATCTTGGTCATAAACTCAAACAGCTCACTGTCACCTAAAATTCTGCTTCCAGTTCAGCAAATGATCAGGGGGCCACAGTCTTATAGCCTTCGTTGCAGCATTTCATGGGAAGAGGCCACTTGAAGACACACATGTGTTTCTAATGGCTGTCCTGGTCCCAGATGCTGTTTGTTCATTCTGTATCAATTTTAATGTCTGTCTGTTGGTGCCAACAGACAAGTTCACCATACTTCGAACTTGCCAGTGTTTTAGCTGAAGTGTTCTCATCAGACCTGCTAGAAGTGGCCAAGGCAGAATTGTAATCCAAGACTCCACAAAGAGCCGAGCCATTAGACCAGTCCCCAAGAGCTGAGTGCAGTGTGACACTGATCGCTTTACCACTGAACATCTGCAGTGCAAGCAAGATCCGTCTCCTCATACAGGTTCTGCGTGGTAGCACTGGTGGGAGGTGGCTGAATGGGTCACTCAGAAAACCCAGGCTTGACTTGTATCCATCTTAAGGAGGATAAGTCACTGAAGATCATATGCAGCCTGCCTGTAGAGCCCGCTCCTGTCCTCTGATTTGCAGGCCTGGGAGTGAGTCCTGAGCTGCCTTCCATGGAGAGAAACATTGGAGATACTGTACTTTCAGATCAATTGTATAAGTTTTGTAAAATTCCCAGAGAAACCCTGGAAGTGACTCCAAATGACCAGGGAAGGATCTTCTTCCTGCTGGGCTTAGGTGCAGACTATGCAGGAGTAAACACGTGATGTCACCCCCGAGGGTAAGGACCAGCACTACTCAAGGCACAGGCAGTGCAAGCTCTGCTGAATATTATGGTCCTGGAACCTTCTCCTTGCATTCTGCATTGTCTTTCAGGAACTTGCAGACTACAGCGATAAGGAATGGTCTGTCCCTGGCGGCACGCTTCTAGACCATGGAACCCAAGGAAGGCAGTTCAGCCTCCAATGTTCCTTACAAGAAGATGTCATTATGCCATTTGTGTGGCCTGCCCCGGAGAAGACTGAACAAGCAGAATGGATATAACATTAGGGAAATAGTTTTTTTGTTTTTAGCCAGAAAATGGAAGGTGCACATTTCAGAATCTTGAAAGCATAAAGAAATCCTAACCAAAAAAATCCTAAGAATTCTTGTGAAACAATCATACTTGAAGAGTAAAAAGAATCTGAATGTTTAGAATTTACTTCATTACACTGTTGGGGGGGTGGGTGAGGAAGGGGGAATGACATGGAAGACAAACAGGGTTGTAAACACAGAATGGAACTCAGATTTTTTTCTACATCAGAATCTCCCAAATTTACCAATAGTCAAAACTCGAACATTTTCAGAAGTTTAGTTCTTGTACTGGAATCGTGGTATCAGTTGAAATCTGGCCTAGAATTTATGTTCTAAAGGGATTACTGTAATCTTTGACACAGAAATAACACCTAAACATAAACACTGAATTAAACAGCACCAGGGAAATCTGACCCAAGCCCACCAAAATCCAAAAAGTAAGTCTAAGCTATGACATGACACTTTGCCCTCCCTGATGTGAAACACTTTGGACTTCTACTTTCAAGATTCAAAAAAGGCTTAGGCAAAATGAGCCCTGGATTTTCTTTCCACATTAATAGAGCTCTTTTAAAAATATATAAAGATATAAATAGGTATATGTAAATATTTATATAAATATATATGTAAATATTTTGCTATGTATCTTTACTTTTACTTTGATGTAAATTAGAGGTGACCTTGGAAAGTACTAACTGAAAAGATTAATTCTAGCCATTTCTAATTTCATCCTCTGTTAATCTCTGAAACATATTTAAATGAACACATTCAGAAAGAGGATGGTTCAGCTGGTCTATTTTTGATACGAGCAGAGTAAACTATGTCATTGTGTCACCTACTATGAAATCTCAGCCTCAGTGACGTGGGTGCTTAATCATCTGTCCTTTACCCAACAGGCCAAAGTGGGAAGCGGGAAGTCTTTCTGTTGACTAATCAAAATGCGTCCCTCCCTCCATCCCCCAGCCTCCAGACACAGCGTACAGTGCCAAAGTCAGATTCTGCCCTGGAAACTGCCACCAAGACACAGAGCAGAGAGATAAAGAGAAACAAGGAAAAATGAAGAGACGCAGCAAAATGAATGTGATGGAGCAAATGATCCTACCTTGGCAACAGCTTTGCCATCGGAATTATTGTTGGAATCCTTTACGCCACTGAATGAATCTCTTCGTTGCGGGCATGGTTTCTTTTTGCGTGGTCTGCCTTTAAGATTTGGCGCTGAAAACAAATGGAGAATAATTTGACACACACTCTCATTACACGGGCTCCCTTATGAAAGATGAAATCTCAGTGCAGTGGTCCCTCTCAAATTCTTCAGAGAAACATGTATCTGTGGCAGCCAACTCTCACTGTATGCTTCCCTCTCTAAAGGGTTACATCCTGGTAGACTATACACTTCTGTACATGTGTCCCAAAGCCATCTATGGCTCTTTAACATATATAATTAATATCAATAAAAGGAAGCCCTAACTCTGAAGGCTGATGATACAGAAAATCCCCTTCCCTACTCTGAGAAAAGAAGCATTCAGGGCTAACAGACAACCTTGAACCTGGCTTTGAGATCATTCTTTGTCTTTTGCTTTGTATCTTGTTTTCAGAAACCTAAGTGATGTGCCTGCCAGCCCATAAGGGTAGCCAAATAACACAGCATTTGAAAACATCTCTCTTTGAAAGTGTGTGGCAACATGAGCAGTTTCCCAAATTATCATACCGATGAAGTCAAGAGAGAGCTGTAGAGAGAGACATTCACAGTAGCAAGCTGGAAAATATTATTACATGTATTTACTAATAATATTGCGACTGGCATGTTTCAAATCTCAACAAACCTGGCAGATGCATTTCAATCAGCATGCTGGCTGCCTGTCTGAGGGTTTTTTAAAACAACTTTCAGAGATGACTCTGGGGTTAGGCTGACTCTACTGGGGCTATACTTTTTAAAAGCCATAGACAAGAAGACAAATCAAAGTTCTATTTCCTGCTTACTGTTGAGTTCAGTATCTTTTCACATCTCCCAGAAAGGCAGGGGGTGGGGGAGGCTGCTGTTTATTGAGTGCCGGGAGTGTCCGGCATCAGCTTTCACATTTCACTTCATCAGTCACCCACGTCAAGCAAAATTAAAACCGACCAAGTAACCCACCAGCCCCTGAACAATTCCGAGCTAATGAATTAGACCCCAAACAATTTCTTCCAGACCTTCCCAGGTTCCCGCACATTTCATTCCTCTAAGGGATGATTATGACACTGTCAACTCTCCACAACCACGAGCGCTCTTAATTGTTGTGAACCTTACTTATGTCAGGCAGTTAAACAGTGGTTCCAGGACATTTTACACTGTCCTCATTCTACAAACACAATTAATCCTACTAATTTGATTTTCTACCGCGCACACACAGTTTTGTTCTCGGTAAAACACAGCAGAGCACAGCCGACAATCAGAGAGGCAGAAAAAGTTTCCAAAGCGACTCCTCAGCCCAAACCCGCACTCCTCCCAGTCCCCAGAACGCCGGTCTGAAAGTCCAGCCCAGAGAGCCAGCCAAGATCGCTCAAAGGTAAACAAGTCCACAAACAAACTCAAGCGAAGAGAAAGTAGCGATTACCCATTCCAGTCGACAAACATCTGCCTGATTGCTCGCTGTCTGCGCTCCCGAAAGCTACAGCATGTGACTGCGCCCCGGCCACATCCCTGGAAGTCTGGACGTGGTGTGGATGTCAGCTTCCCTCTGAGTGCGAGCTGCGAGGCTCAGCGCTCTGCTTACAACTGCCCTCCCCCGGCAGCTCCATTACTCATGTAAACACACAGCAGTGACTAGCACCGAGTGTGTGGGATGAGCTCTGAGGACTCCGCCGAGCTGCCAGACTGGCAGGGAGGGCTGTGCGCTCCCCACCTCCCTGCTTGGGGCTGGTGATTTCATCCGCCTGCTCGGCCCATGCTGACCTCCTGCTCGCCTGTCACAGCGCCATGCCACGTTCTGGGGATCTGACACGGTCCACGGCCTGGAGCCAGGGCGTGGACCATTTTGTTTAGAAGACTCTGGGTAGCACAGAAGTGTTTCCACAACTGACCCAAGCGCTAAGACTTTAATGACTGCGAGGGAAGGATGTCCTTTCATGTCCCTTATCAAAATAACAGCCCAAGCCAAAGCTTACAGAAGCAAACCCAAGTTGAGGTAGCAGGTCCGAGGCACTGATGAACAGAAACCAAACAATACTGTCTCTGTTCCAGCTACTATGATCTCCTCTCGCTAGCATTTTGGTGAAAAGCACTTAAACCTAACAGGCATTTATTTCCAGAAAAGCTTTCAAATCCCAAAGGCCTTTTTGAGACGGAGGACTTGTATCCAGCATGCTGTTTTAAATACTGACAGCGAAGATTCCAGGAACTGACAAGAAAAGTCCTCCCCAAACTGGGTCTATTTTCTCCATTCTTTTGAGCTGTTTTCAAAACCCAGAGAAGCACATGTCCTTCCAGGGCTGATTCTGAGAATTACAAACTTAGAACAGACCAGCCAGCACCTAATATTCTAGTCATACAAATGTCAACACTAAATGGGATTCGATCAAGGGAGAAAAAGTGAGTATCTGGAGAGGGCAGGTATGTTTAGGTAAATGCTATCCTGTCATATCCCTCCTCCACTCTCCCTTCTGAACTTGTTTTCTATCCTTTCCTCTGGAACCTGGCACTAAGTTCCCTGGACTTTAACTTGTGTGTGTGTGTGTGTGTGTGTGTGTGTGTGTGTGTGTTGGGTTTATTATTATACTAGACTGGAGAGTTCTTAAGGGCAGGACCGTGCCAGATTCATCTTTCATCTGCTCCAGCACAACACCCAGCAGGGAGCATTGCATAACAAGGATCTGTTGGATGAACAAGTGACTAATGGAAATAAAGATACCCACACAGTCCTCTTTCCAGTCCTCACTGGCTGGGCCTGCCAGCCTGACCACGTGGGATCCTCGTCACCCGGGGCACCTATACACTTGCCACCACCTTTCCTACTCACACTTCACAGGGCACTGTGTGGGAAATTGGGAGGGGAGACCTAAGGCCTTTGGTTCTTGGTTATGGTTAAGCCATGGAGTCTGGCTTCTTGGTAGGACCCTCATCTCCTTCCGCCTGCAATGCACAGATGCCCCAAAGAGCACCGACGTGCAAAGTCCCAGGGAGAATGGAGTGCAGGATGCAGTAGCAGCCTCCAAAATACAATTAGAGACCTTTGGGATTTCAGAAGACCTCAGGTGAAGCTTAAAGACTTGAGTGACTGGCCTTGGGAAAGAGCAGAATTCTGGTCCCCAGACTACATCTTTTTTGGGCCTAGGGTCATGAAAACAAATCATTTGCTAAGGCTGGTGGTTGAAAACAAATGCATTAGGATGTGGTGGTGCTCAGAGGTCTGGTGGAGCTCTGGACTTTAATTTTTTGGCATAAGAAACAGCCCCAGTGGCCAGTGCTGTGGCACAGCAGGTAGAGCCGCCATCCACAGCACCAGCATCCCATATGGGCGCCGGTTCGAGTCCCAGTTGCTCCACTTCCAATCCTGCTCTCTGCTATGGCCTGGGAAAGCAGTAGAAGATGGCCCACATCCTTGGACCCCTGCACCTGTGAGGGAGACCTGGAAGATGCTCCTGGATCCTGGCTGTTGCTGCCATCTGGGGAGTGAACCAGAAGATGGAAGATCTCTCTCTCTCTCTCTCTGCTTCTGACTCTCTGTAACTCTGCCTTTCAAATAAATAAATAAATCTTAAGAAATAAAGAAAGAGAGAAAGGAAGAAAGAAAGAGCCCCACCCTCTTCCAGGTGCCCTGAACAATCTATACCTGTCTTCCCCTGGAAAGATCCAGAATCCTGACTCTAGTGCCTTAGGTGAGACCGACCTCCACCTGGGAAGCCAACAGCACCCCAACTGGTGCCCTTATCAGTTCTACTTTGACAAAACATAGTGTAAGCAGTAAACACACAGTTACTCTTACATGTGCACATAATCCCCTGCCCAGTCTGAGCCTGGCTCATCAGAGAATTCAGCGCATGCCTTTAGCACGAATGTTTTCAGTATTATGCAGGCGTAACAACAGGAGCGAATGGCGAGCGTTTTCTTTGGCCAGTCCCTGTCCGGAGTGCTTTGTCACACCAAGCCAATGAAGAAGGCACAATGATTATCCCCATTTTACAGATCAAGAGTGTGAGCTAGAGATTACATTACTTGTCTTGGGTCATACAACAGGTTACTTGGGAGCAGCGGGATTCCAACCCAGGCAAAGAGACTTCATCCAGAGCCCTAGTTTAAGCGACTTCTCTCTAACACACACATATACATATTTCTCTCTCTCCACCTCATAATGAAGTGTTCACAATCGCTTGCACTGGACAAGCTTTCCCCAAGTGAAAACACTCTCAGGAAGGAACCAGAGTCCTATACACTTGATAGCAAGCAGGGTCCCTGTTAGTCCTGCCTTGGTTGAGATGACAGGACTGCCACTAAAAGCCACTGAAGTCACTAAACTTAGTGCACCACACACATTACCCCCCACAGTGGGCTGCTGGCTCCGTGTCCTAATCAGTGAAAGATCACTGTGGTTTTTTTTTTTTTTTTTTAATCTTTCCTCTCTGACTGCCCATCTGCTTCTCTAACTCAGTGCCAAGAAATTAACAAGCATTCACCTTTGTGAAGTCACTGCTATTTCTATAGGTGTTAATCCCTGGAGAATCAAGCTACCTCCAGGGCTCCAGGCTACTTTGACAGCTAACCCATCTTTTAAAACTCTTCCAAATAGTAACAAATCATAGTCCATTTTCTGAACAACAGAGCAGAGTAAGTTGTTTGTTTTTTCCTTAAAGTGTCTGGAAGCGCGTGGCTATAGACAAGCGTTTATGTATTTATTTCACTGTGGGCTCAGACAAGTTATGTGTCCCGGCAGTGCAGGTGTGGGAAACTTTTCATCTCAACCCCAACTTTTGCAATAATAATAATAAAACAAAGGAAATGTAACCAGTTACTGGCAAAGTAAATTGCTTTTGGCTTAAATGTTCCTGTTTTTTTTTTTTTTCTACTGTGTTCTTCCTGTCATGACTGCCTTTTTTTTTTTTTTAATAGCATTTATGCTCTTGGAAATACCACGAAGATAAACTGCTATAAAAGCGGGATTGACTCATCAGTTAACAACTCTTTCTTCCCATTTTACAGAGAGGATTTTGTTGCTAATGCAGCTTCATAGTCTCTTGAGAGA